AAAATAACATCAAAATGGGTTCACAGTGTGAACTCATTTTGATGTTAGCTCTGAAAATACTGTGTCAATAATTAATACATAACGGTGCGATATTGAGCGGTTTTCATTTGATTGTCGAAGTTAATTTGGGATGGTTTGCTTTGCTTCGGGTTCACGTCAATTGGTAATTCGAATTCTTATTTTGTCTAATCTTTTCTTGCAAATAGATGTTGTAATAGGCTTTGTGTTTGATTTTACGGCATGAAAACTGCTCTGTTGACTATTTTGTAAGAAGAAGACGTGAGATACTGATCTGTTTTGGGACTTGCAAGTGATACGCAGTTAATCAGCTGCACACCATGCAGCTTCCGTCTTAACCCTCATTTTCCACTTTCTCGCAACATTTTTTGTTTTGTTTAATTTTTTTCGTAATGAACTAGTGATAAGTGACAGTCAACAATCAATTGTACGTAAATTTATCTGTGTGATTACTCAGTTGGTTCAAACTTTTTACCTGTTAAAATAGCTCAGAAAGCCGTATTTAACAGGCGCAAAACTAACAAAGTAATTGATGCAAAGTAAGTCATTAAATCACTAATTAGTGGTGACGCGAGGTTAACGTGAACTTTCGAATGTGTTGTCAACTTATAAAATTATGAGAAACAGAGTATACCACACGAATTGTGATGGGATAGATAACTAGATGCAAGAAGTATGTAAACTCAGTTGTGAAGTCACGTTAAATTCCTCACTTAGTTTGAATTAAAGAAATATAAAACTGTCGTTTATGTGATTATAAACTTCACGAAGTAATGAAACAGAGTCTGGGTTGGCTTAAACCTCCTATAGATCAGTATGTATTATGATCTGCACACATTCTACCGATGTTCTTACACACACTCTTATTCTCTTACGTGCATGTTAACATGAAGCGGCAGTTTTATATTTGTCAATTATAATGATTCCGCCTGTGGTGGTTTTATCGATGTTTTCTTAGTAATTCACCGTTTACTTTAGTAAGCACAACCTTACATAGCATGAGTCGTGTGTGATGTTTTGTTATGTAGATGGAGCTTACTTCAGTGCCGTCCAGTGAATCAGTGGACAGTGACATCGATGTGGAAAGCTTTGACAGTAAGCAGCATTT